TGAGGTTATTGGCTGGTATTGCAACTTGAGCTCCCCCCCCCCACCACACACACTTTCACTAACACATTTTGAGTTGTTTTTCAGTACTTTTGTGCTCCTTTACAAAACTCCCTTTGTAATCTACATGTTTACAGATTTAACCTCTTCAATCCCAGTCATCCATCCAAAGATAACTGGAGGCTGGATTTCATTCGGGTTAAAAGCAACACTATTTGGGTCAAATGTGGTGGTCTCACGATACATTTGTTTGTTATACTACAAGTGTTGGAGTTTTAGGAATAATTTTCAGGAAATGTGTTAAAAATGATGCACAAGACATCTAGAATATTTCCATTTGATGAGGTAGCGCACTCATAAAAACAGTCTATGTTTTAAATGTTACACTCAGTGTAAACCTCATAGAGCTTCAGTAAAAAGTTGGAACTGGCTGATACAAGTTAAGTGTTAATTGAGATTAACAATAACAATTATTACCTAACAATGTTTTCTGGACTTACATTTATGTTATATTTAATGTAATAGGGGCTTTAAAGGGAACTGGATAAGCTATCGTCTTCAAAAAATGCTATTATCTTCCAAAAACATTTATTCCAACATCTTATGCAACCATTGCTCTCGTGATGCCATTGTAAGTTAACATTGGCTTAGACTGACATTGGTTACACTGATAACTGGCAAAAAATACATCGTAATGTAGCTTCAATCTACTTATGAATAACTAATTGACAGTACGAAATGCTCACGCAAACAGTGCATGGCTTGTAGTAAAGCAGGTTGCATATTTGACTGTAACTAATGTAATAATGGAGGCAAAGTAAACCAAGCTGGTGCTCATGAACAGTATTCAGCACCACAGCAGGCTGGACAGCTCCGCCTCCGACTGAACAGATAGCTTCTAGTTTGCACTGTATGTTTATACATGTTTAGTGCAGGTGGACTGAAGGGGGTTGGATTGTACAAAGATAGATTCAGTGTCCTATCCTAATAGATTTTAGGATAATTGGATGAGACTGTGCAGATCAACACATCATGAGGCCATCAAAGAACGTCAGCCTGCATTAAGCACTACATGAGTTTTAGGGGAGAGGCTTTTTGGAGCCTTTGGTACTCTGGGTGACCCCCGGCATCTATAGATAAAAACAGCTCATTCTAAGGTAACGAAAACACAATAATTCCTATTTTTAGGTGACTATACACTGAAATTATACAAATTAAAACATACCTATGTATATTATATTCAATTTGCCAATAGATCCTCCTAAATGTTATACACTACACACGACCTATAACCTAAGTTTTGAGCCTAGGAAAATATTACTAACTAGGGAAGGTCCCTAATTGCTGGGAACTCACAAGGTATGGTAAACTAGGCTTTGCACACAAGGCCACAGCTACCACTGAGGAATAAGCTTGTGTCCTCAGTTTTGTTTCTGGCAACTTCAGGATTTTAACATCCTGAAGGTGGAGTTTATAATCCACAATTACAGACAAATTACACATCGTGTTTTCTTTTAGTTTAAAAAAAAAACATGATTTAATGGATTTGTCTGGCCACCTGGGGGCACCAAAAACAAGCTATAAACACAACATGTTTTAAAACGTTTGTTTTTCTAAAAATATTGATTAGTAGTAGCATTTAAACTGAAAGAAATGTTTTTCTTTGTATATTTGGAGTCTGGGTCAATTTGTTCTCTAAAATCCTGGTAAACCGTTTCATGTAGGGATGTCCGATAATATCAGCCCGCGGATATTCATTAAGAAATTTAATATCGGGAATTATTGGTATCGGGTTTTTATAATCGATGTTTGTTCTGTAGGCTTCAGCATTTCCCAGCCTGCATGAACGCAGCATGGGACGTTTACCGGTGCGCTAGATGACGTATAACAACAACAACAACAACTACACGCTAGACTGGTTGGTTGCTAACCGTGGCTAACAAGCAAACAATTTAAAGCTGAATGATTTTAATATTAACACAAAATAAGTGCAATGCACCTTAAATATTTTACCCTGCTATAAGCTGTTTCTTAACCAAACTAACAATTGGCTTAGAATTTACATTAGCACTCCTTCAGGTGCATAATACAATTAAACACATTAACCAAAGCTAGTGCTTAGCCAGCGACTAGCGTTAGCGCTCTTTTCAGTATTAATACAGTGAAAGTTGAAGTTGTTCTCTTATTGTGCACAGACAGTGTTTACATTTGGAAAGCCATGTTGCATTTATGTATGCATCCAGTGGGGCATCACAATAAAATTAGGCATAATGTGTTAATTCCACAATAGGAGATATTTTATGTTGTTACCTAACAGTTTTGGTGTAAAAAGCCTGCAGATATCGGTATCGGGTGATATCGGTATCGGAAATTGAGAGTTGGACAATATCGGAATGTTGGATATCGGCAGAAAAGCCAATATCGAACATCCCTAGTTTCATGAGTACCTGGCAGCAACTTTAACTTTGCAGACTAGAACACAGACAATCTAAACAAGAAGCAGCTGCACCGCAGCCAGACTCTGATCCAATCAAAACCAGAGGTTTGAGCAAAAGGACAAACACAGACCTGCCAGATGATGGAATTTAGTAATGACACCTGCTGAGGGGTGCCCCGGGCTGCTGTCAGTCTAGAGACAATGACCTGGTGTGACTTACACTTAGACAAACACTGTTACTGAAGAGGAGCAATTATTGAACACTTATATTACACTTTTATATGTTTTGGCACTTACAAGCCTCCATACAATCCGTGACAGCTTCTGTGACAATGAGACTGATTATATAGCACTACCCATTACACACACACTTGTGTGAAGTGTGAAGCCATTGACAAAGTTTTACACTGTTTAAGACTAAAAGAGGTTTAGTGAGAATTAGCTAAGAGTGATTGGGTTATGTAAGCTCAAAGGTCCAATGAAGAGGAGACAAACACACACACACACACACACACACACGCACCAAATGGAACTTAATTTGTGGAGCTAGACTCCAGACCAGTCAGAAACCTTTAGTGGTAAAGAATTCTGTGTGTTTCAAACAATATTTCAGCATAGAATAGTACATTTCCTTTATACACTGTCATTATAATTGTAATAAATCTCACTTCATCTTCCCCATTTTCACACATTACGGTACACTGAGTAGATAATCCCCTGAAACGTCTCCTTGCTTTTACCAGGCAGGCAGGGTTTTTGTTTGCTGGACGAGAAGCTAAGAATTAATCCTCATTACACAATGGAGCAAAAGCGGTTTGGTGCGTTTAATTGCTGCTTACTGTACGTGTGAGCTTTTGTCATATGAGGGCCCCGCACATGGTTTGAAATACACTGCTTAAATGTAACACTCAATGTGTTCAAGGTGTTTTGTAACTTCTGACTGAGTTTAACCAGAAGATGAACTGAAGATGAAGAAAATAAAGTAAAAAATTATACAGGAAATGTCTTTAGATTTAGTCTTTCTCATTTGTGAACACAACAAACATGACGAGACATTTATGCATGTTTATTGAGATTGGGATGTCTGCATGAGTAAGTGTTGTATTTGTATTGTGATACAATTCTGAACTTCTTAAATCTTGCCCCTGACAAATAACCCCAAATATCCCCCATACTATAATCAGATAACTAAAACTAATAAAACCAAACTAAAACTAAACACAAACACAAAAATTAAAAACAAAATAAATTATAAACTAATGAAAAATACAAAACCCCCACAAGCCAAACTGTGGCTACGTGGTGCTTAAATGAAGTCTAATAAACCTTCAACCTGTAGAACAAACACGAAAGATTTGTTCCTCACAAACAGAAAGCGGTGGCAGTTCTGAATACATACAACAGTAATTAATTCAACAATAAAGGAAGCAGGTCACTGTTGTGTGACCTATTGTGTGTTAGGTTTTTCGTCTTGTATTTTGTGTGTGAGTAATTTTTTACCAAAAGAGTATTACATACATACACTGCAATAATACTGTTATAACACTAATGGGGAATGTTACATTTATCTTCTGTTCTATAAATAAAATGTATTCTTAGATGAATTTAAATAAATGAACAAATTATGCTGAAAACATACAGGCCTGAATATCTACTGTGCCTGCCTTGTTGACCCTCTTCTCTCGAGGGTTGACCCTGATAACTAAAACAAAACAAAAAAACTATTGAATTATATTTAGAGTTAGAATACTCATGGGAGGGGAAACTGTGACATTTATTGTAAAAGAAGCTTGTAGGGATGTTGTCCTCCATCAGGCTCCTGCAGCTGCTCGCACTGACTCAGTAAATCCTCTAGAGGGCAGTGTGAGACTGCAGCCCCATGTCAGTGGTTCCTTTCCTGGCCTATTTGTTTCACTGATTAGGCTTGGTGATGTGTTAAGGATTCCTGTTTAGAATGACATGATTTAAAGGTGTATATTATAAAAATATCAGTTATTAATTAAAACGAATTACTATTAACACATACCCACTAAAAAACTTAATTGCATGTTCTATGACCAACATGGTGATTTTTATCTTCTGTTGTATCCTGTAATGCTTCCTCTTCATCTATTTAAATATTCTGTAATATATATATGTATTATAGTATTATTTAGTATTGTTTAATCTTATCTCCTGAAGAATTCAATTTGACATTTTATCTAGCATCCCTACTATTCTAATAATATTTTATTATGTCCCACATTATTTCCCTCTAAGCCCGGTCATATTCCCATGTGAAGACAGTTTAGCAGCAAAAAGCTTCTACATGCACACTCACACGCTTGTGCGAAATTTACTCATCAGTGATTGGTCGAAACTCAGCCAGAGAGGGTGGGGCAAAGCCGTGGTTAATTAGCATACCTATCAAGGGTCATAAAAGGACCTGCAGCCTCACCTGAAGATTCACAGCAGCAGCATCAAACCCACAGAGGAGGAAGGGGGACCGCGGGTGTAGTGCATGGCACGACAGTCAAACATCGTGGAAGTAAAACTCAGATTAAAAAAAAAAAAAAAGTTCACTCACCTCACGGAGACTCACACAGGTCCGGTCACCGTCCACGGTCTGTGCGTAAAAGCGCACAGCCAAGAGAGAACTTTACGCGCTCCCAGGAGTCTGCTTCTTTCCTCCTCCTTCCTCCAGTCCGCTGGTGGTTCGAGACCTTCCCGTAACGGCCGGTTTGTGACTTTCACACCCGGTTCTGCTGAGTTGTGGCCGGTCCGACCCTGAGCCCCGGGTAACCCATGAGGCTAGAGGCCGCAGCCAGGATGGATCTGTTCAGGAAGCTGTGGAAGGCGAGGAAGCTGATCGTTGTGGTGTTCATCCCGCTGTCCCTGCTTCCCTTACCGCTCATCCACCCCACCAGCGTGAGTATAAGCGAAAATAAAATATGATTTTTTTATTATAAGCATAGAAACACAAAGAGAACTTCTGCCAGAAAGTCAGGATTTTCAAAATAAGAGTATGATTTTAGGGAAGAATTTAAGTGAGATTACAAATAAAATATGACAAGGTAAACCTGTTAAAGTACTTGTTACTGTAAGGGAAATATATGGCTATTATACTGGAAATTAAGAACATATGTGTGACATATCCAGTTAATTATTGAGTATCACAGATACACTTCTTCCAAAAGATATAGGAGATAAAATTGTCTTTTTTGTTATTTTTAAGGTTCAAGGAAGGCTTACAAACCATACACAGACTATACGTTCCTGCAGTGATCTGGCAGAGATACCACAAAAACTACAGCATAAATTAAAGTACCATACATGCTGCTTATGTCTTTTATTCAAAATGAGTTATTTAGTTAGTCATTATTAAATATACCAACAAACCATATAAATACCTCGAAAACATGAGATAAACACAACATCCAGTTGATCTGTGGATGTTCCTCCTGGTTGCTGCTAACGGCTGTAGTGTCCTGATGGGGTTTTGGTGTGTGTGTGTATGTGTGTGTGTCTGAGAGTGAGAAAGACAGACAGAGAGAGAGAGAGAGAGAGAGAGAGAGAGAGAGAGAGAGAGAGAGAACAGAAAGAATCAATCAAAAGGCACACTGTCCTCTGTTTTGATGAATGCTTGTCCCCGAGCTGTGCTGATCATCAGCTGAGCTGTGTGTGGAGAGGAGATGTCGCGACATGTTGATGAGATGGAGATCAGTGAGAGAGAGAGGGAGAGTGGGGGTGGAAGGAGAGAAGAGTGAACAACTTGATATCGTTTAGGCTCATGTTCAGTTGAATTGTTTGCTGTGAGAGCCATTGGAAAAGGAGGTGAAATCTGTCTTATTCTGCCAAGCTCATGTTTTTTTTGTGGGGAATTTCTGAGACTGAAGTGAAACTGCATTGGAAACAATAGGATTATCCCAATCTGCATAAATCCAATCTTTACAAGAATTCACCTGTTTGGATAAAATGTTTCCAAGACACAGATGTAGCTTCCTTGATGACTGAATTACATATAAAGATAAAGATTTTGTTGAGGGGTGATAATTTGTAGAAATGTCAGATGAGGATTGAGCATGGCGAAATCATGTTGTTGTGTCAAACTTTCAGATTCAGAAGGGTTGTACGTAGGATTTTGGATTTAAGACAGGATCACGTTTAGTGAGGCTCAGACCTGTGCGTGTCATATCCTGGAAAATGCTCGACTGGGATCACAGGAGGTTTTTTTTCCTAATCCAAACAAAGATGTTCACTGGGAATAATCTCTCCAAAATTAAGTTTTATTATCAGCTATATAGGTATATATTGTTTGTTTCTTTTGTTTTATACTCTCCTACATGTTAATAATGTTCTTGTACATATGATATTTCTGGCTACCTGGGTTAGAAAACACAGATAAAACTTGAGAAAGGGTTAAAATTATTGTTTGGAAATATAGCAATAAGTGCTCTTAAATGAGCTTTTCAAAGATTGCACCCAGCACTAAGCAACACTGATGCTTCACGCTGTGATTCAGTTTAATCATGACTAATAAAAAGCACAAACAAGGGCTAGGTCCAAATTTGTGTCAGCCACAAAAAGATCCTTTTAGTTCATATAATATGATTTTGTCCTGCGATCAAACTACACTGAACTCTGTGAATGCTCGCTACTTTAAAACAAAATAAAAGCATGCAGATATTCAGCAAACTTTATTTCCTATGCTTTAAAAACTGGACTTTATCTCACCGCATGGTGGCTTATCAACGCTGCACACAACAGGCAAGACATGGTTGAAGATTAAACACATGTGACAGGTGTGTTTGTTTAGCTGCTAATTAATAATACCACAGTCACATGCTCATAAACACACCATTAATATTAACTTTCAGTCAGGTTTTTTCCCAACCTAGAAAAGGTAGTTGCCAACAACAACCACCATCTCAAACAGTAATGGTACAGGTGGTGACAGGTGTGTGCTTATGTGTTAGAAATGAGCTCTTCTGTGTCACAGTTATTTGTGTTTCTTGTAACATCATTAATATTCAAAGGAACTCTTGCATGCTCACAAGTTGTCCATCAGCCAATCACGTTGTCGCCCAGGAGCCTTGCTGTTATGTCAGGACCGGTGGATTTTTGGCACGGGAAGGTGGCGCAGGATGAGGCCAAGAAAGAACAAAAGAACAAAATCTCCACTACAAAGAAAAACAATCCAGGCAATTAAGTTATATAATCAACCCACCACCACGATGGACTTTGGCCCCCACGTGGCTTCCTTACGACATCAGGGACCCCAAACTGTGTCAAGAATGTGGCAGGGGTTTGGAAGAAGAGTGTGTGTGTGTGTGTGTGTGTGTGTGTGTGTGTGTGTGTGTGTGTGTGTGGAGTGGTACTGTGTGCAGCTGCAGCAGGACAGAACATCTGCTGGATGCAGTCAGGCCAGGTCAGAGAGGGAGGGAGGGCGACTAGACAGAAATTCAAAGACAATGGCAGATGCACAGTGCTCATCACAAACACTGGGCCTAGATAGGGGCGTTCACGTTTTTCAGACATTTCGGGGCCACTGTAGTTTCTCCTTTGTGCTACGAAGCGGAGGGTGAAGCAAGGGAGTTGCTATCTGCATTTACACTGCTAGATGCCACTAAATCCTACACACTGGACTATTAATAGCTGATAGAACAGACGTGAGCCCAGCTGGGCATATACATGGATATGACTAATTGTTCCCTCGGATGCTACATTCATATAACCAAATAATATCAAAACTAATGACATTTTCATTATCACATCTCTATCTGCTCATTAGCAAATGTTAGCAATTTAGCTAAACATGCTAAATTGTGTGTATGTCCATCTGATATTTCAGACTGAAGATCAGTTAAGAAAAATGTCCCCAATTTGGAAAAAGCTGATTTGGGGTCAGTAGTTAAAGTTTGGGTATACAAACATGTTCATGTGTGTGCATGTTGTCTGTCACTTTAAAAGTTCATTTAGCCCGCCGCTGATTGGTGAATACAGTGAATACAGGTTTCAGCTGTGGCCTTATCTGCCTATCAGGAGTTCTTAAGTCACTGTCTTTTTCCTAAATACCAACCAACCCCTACACTGTCCAGAGATAAAAGGGAGTTGATGAGACAATCAATGGGCTTTTGTTACATGTTGAGATAGAAATTGGTGTGTTAACTTCAGGGAACTATCAGGGTCTGAGGAAAACATTCCTTTCATCTGAATGAGTTGTTCAGGTCATGGTGATATACTAGACCCTCATGTAGACAGACAAATCCCTGAAATCGCATCTGGCCCTATCAGAGAGGAAAATGGTCATCATTTCATACTAACTGCCAGCCAGAGGAATATAGACATTGATGATAATGTGAAATAACTAACACTTGATTCTACCTATCTCTATCTTATTATTGATGGCTAATAATAATAGATATAATAATAATGGCACGGCTGTGCAGATATGGCAGTCATCTGGCTAACAAGTTGACATTGATCAACACCAAATCAGCTAAATAGTTCACTGAATACTACTACTACTAAGTTCAAAACCTCAAATTCTTCTGGTTAGTCAAACTTGTATTTTACTTATCTGAATGTCCACTGGATGCAACAGGGCTCCATTGGCATTTCATTTGTCCACTGGACGTCTTCAGTCAGTCTGTTCATCAGCGGCTGCATTTTCCACTCATATTTAGCTGTTTTTTGAAAGCATTTTAAAAACATGTTTCTAGTTTTTATGACTGTACGCTGGGTGGTGTCTAATCTTCATCTGGGGTCTGTATCTTCTGAATAGTATCATAGCAGAAGGAAAACCTATTAGCTATCAGTATTAATGTAAGAGTACTAATGCAGCTATTGTATCAGAATCGTGCATTTATGTCAAAATAATGTGCACCCTCTTGCCAATCAGAATTCTCTGTGGCCATGACACAACGTAGGTGTTCCTCATTCCTCAGTATGCGGGATCATGTGGTGTCTGCAGTTAAACATAATGCTTATAAAAAATAGAATTTGCAGCCAAAATGCCCGACTGTTGAATAATGGAGAACTTGATCACTTGTACTTGAAAGCTGATTATGTATTCTTCATCCCGCAGCGTTGTGTATAGTCATTGTTTTGGTTTCTACAAAAAAAATAATATTTCTGTTCAGATTTTGTCAGTGTGAGATGGAAAGTCATCGGAAGGATGTGATTGTTCCAGAAAGCTCCGTTAGGGCTCAAACTTCTTGGCAGTGTTGATGTAGTGCAGCCTGCTGAGACACACACACACACACACACACACACACACACACACACACACACACACACACACACACACACACACACACACACACATAATCACGCACAAACGTTGTCTGTTTCACCTCAGGCACTCCCGCATCACATTCTTTTACAGCAAAAAATGAAGTGAACTTTCATGCCTGTCACAGCAACTGTTCCCGGTCTCTCTTTCACAATTTCCCTAAAATGTCAGTAAATCTGAAAGTAGTCAAATTAAATTACAGTATATCAGCACACTGTGTGACTTATTTTCTAAATTAAAAAAATTTAAGAACAATTACTGGCTATTTCACTGTAAAACCCAATGAGTTAGTTCAACTCAAACTGTTTGAGGAAACCTAGTGCCTTAAAACATTTAAGTTTATTAATGCAAACAGTTTAAGTATGAAAGTATTGAATTCCATTCAGAAAATTGAACTAGTAAGTAAATTACAGTCAAATAATAAAGTAAGACTAACTATATATAACTATAACTTAACTGCATCTTCTTTATAAAAATGTTAACACTCAGTTTTATTCCACTAAAGCAAATTATTACATTGGCTGTCAAAACAGCTGACGTATGATAAAAACAACTTGTTTATTTATTATCAAAATGCTAACCAATTACCATTTTACTAATTTAATAGTTACTACTTTAATTAAGTTTTAACTATAGACTATTTTCTGTGACTAACATCAAATCGTTGCACTTTGGGGGATCATTAAGAATTACTCAACTGAACTGAAATTAAAACAAAAATGAAAATATCATTTATTATAGCACAGTGGCATTTATATTTGTGTAATGATGTAAAGTTACCTTAAAAAAATAAGTCAATGGAGCAAACTGGAATTATATCACCAATACTTAAAATACTAAAATACTGCACACATTTAAGTTCACTAAAGCAACTGAGTTATTACTTAAACAGTTTATTTTTGAGTTAGGTTTATCCATTGGGTTGAGTGATTCCACACTTTTTGGAGGATTAATACTTCTTCTTTTCTTGTTAGATTGTTTATTTCTTGCATGGAAACCCATCTCAAAATCAGTTCTTCAGAGCAAATAAGGCTTTCTTCCATTAGAATACCGGCACATATTGACGTCTGCACCTTGACACGTCTCAGCATAAAGTCTGGTTATCACAGAGGTTGCATCAGCCACTCAGTGATTCCTGCGTCTCTGCTTACCCAGCACTTTAACTTGCAAAACTAGAGCAAAGAAAAAAGAAGCACAGATGAATGTTTGAGGATCTGATTGAAGCTGCAGTTCTTGTGTGGCAACTATCTTCTGATAGGGAGGGACCAATAGTCAATGATCAGTGACTGAACTGCTGAATAAGACCATCTCTCTCCCCCCACCCTGTGTTTATTTAGTTGTTTATGTTTGTCTCTTTTTATCTGTCCATTTGTTCTTCGTCCCCTTATGCCACCACTCTTTTCCTGTTTTCATTCTTCTCAGTGTGAATGACAGATCAACAGTCAGACACTTAATCCCGCTATCAGGCTCCTTGCTTACCTCGTGTTTCCTGAATGTTGAGACAGATATCATGATTAAAACAACTGTTGACTAAAGCAGTTTGTGTACATTAACATTTTGTCTTTTGTTTAAATGTCTCTTTTACAGCATTCTCTCTCTTTACAAAGTTTACATGTGTTCGGAAAGGATTTAAATTGTTGTAACATTTTCCTTGGCAAGGTCTTCTTTGATTATGAACCCAAACACCTTGTTCTGTTCTCAGCCTAATCCAACAGCTGTGGCTAATGCCTGGAAATGCCTCTTTCCTCTTGCCAAGTTAAATCCACTGTAAAGCATCCAAAAGGAACAGAGGTTGTGGCTTTAGAGTGACAACCTGGGCCATGAGAGCCAGACCAATGCCAAAACACAGCTGATAAAAACAATCTTCACGTGTCTTCTGTTTTATTTATTAGTCTATCCAGTATTGTACATTATTGTGCAGTCAGTGGTCAAGTAGATTGACACTTGATTCTACTCCTGGCTACACAACCTGAAGTCAGCTTATCTGGGGACTGACCATTGTTTGGAAGGCCCATTCTTCCTAAAACCCAAATAGTCAGAAAAATATCCCATTAAACCGAAAGCCCATTGATCCGACAGGCTGTTACTCCCAAAACGTTTTTTCCAAAAATACACACTCTCCCTGGAGCTTTTTACCCTTAATATGTTCTATCCATCTTGGAAAGGACGAAGTCAGGTGATCTTTATCATCATGTCATACAATAATAAATATGTCGTTACCGTTGTGAAAACAATTGCTGTTTGGTTCGATTTACACATCAAAACTACTTAAGTTTTAGAGTTTAGGTTAAAATAAGTCCGTTAGTTATGTCAGTTAAGTTACATGCGTAAATGAGTGAAACCAGAGTGAGTATTTTTCGGAACTAGGCCTGTGGTTCTATCGACTCGAATGAATGAGTGTTTGACAAATGGGCTTTCGGTCCTATGGGAAATTTTTCTTACTATTGGGTTTCAGAATAATGGTCTGTCGGAACAATGGCATGGCACCACATATTTTCACCATAATCACCATTAACTAAAATTCCCTGCTCACAGAAAGTGATAAATGAAACTCCAACTTCCAGTCTTTTTCTTGTGTCTCTTTGGTTTCTTTACTGTCTGCTCAAACACTGCATAGTTTAATACTGTCCGATCTCTGGGTATTGAAAATGTTTTGGACAGCTACTGTTGTCTCTGACTGACTATTGCATTCAAGCCATGATTGTCTCCTCATTAACCACAGAGAGATCTAGCATATTCACGTAATGTATATGTCACTAGATTTGTTGCATAAGTCCTAAGTTTCCTTACATACAGGGACTAATGAACACCAAATGTTGTCTGATCTAATATATATATATGACAATGAGATGAATTGCCATGAAATTCTGTACAGACATTACATATTAGCCAGCAAACATAAACTAAGATTGTAAACATTATACCTGTTTAACATCAGCATGTCAGCACTGGCATTGTGAGCCTGTTAGCACGAGAGCCTACAGTTACAGTTTTTACACAGCATCTACATAAAGACTGTGTGCTTCTATACTGTTTGGATACAGATACATGGTGATGGCATTTGGAGCTACTAATGTATTTCCTATTGACAAATAACTAATTGTTATGAAAGCAACGTTAGGCTTCATTTATTAATGGTGCTTTAGAGCAGAAAGTTGTATTTTATTGTATGTACCTTTTTAGTTATCAAATAAAGTATATGAAAATGTTATAACTTACAACTAGATTTAATTTAAACAGACAGCAGAGATGCAGAAAGCTTAAAGGGGACATATGTGACACACTTTTCATGTTAGAGTAAGTCTATGATTTAAATGCCTGTGAAGTCCAAACAGGTCTGGGCATGCTTTGTCCTGGAGCCCTGCAGCTAATTCTCCCTCCTCTGGGGTTATTAATTTGAGATTAACTGACCTGTTGTTGACAAGATGTTGGACTGAATTTTCCTCTTACGTAAAAGTAGCCTACTACAAAGCTCACACAGCATGTGGCAGAAGCGGGACCTGCGTATGTTTAATACTCATGGGGGGGGGGCAAGTCAACAAATAAAACACTGTATCCAAATATTACATTAATAATCACGGTTAAAAACGTGCACAGTGACAGTATTTCCAACAGTACTGCGTGTGTCCATGACAGAGCAGACACATTCCGTGTTTGACTTAAAGTATGTGATCATGGGAACAATATTTTTCAGCAGCTTGTCAACTGCAAAGACACATCCTTGAATTTGGGGTTTAATGTAAAAGGTAGGTTAATAAAATTCTTTTCTTAAGATCTTAACAAATGTCACAAGGTTCCTCTTTAGTTTTTAAGGTTGGAGAGCCTGTCACTAAGCTCGCTGGTATTGCGACAGAGCAGTATGAGAGGCCGGTATGTCGATATTATATAACCTTAACCAGATTAATGCAACATCAGTGTGTGTGTTTGTGTGTTTTTGTGTGTGAGAGAAAGCGGGGAGAGAGTGTGTGCGGCCCAGCTGGATTTTGAGTAGTAACCACACTCCTCGCTGTCCCGCAAACACTAATCTGACAAAAGCTTATAATAATATAAATATAATAATGATAGTAATATAGTAATATTTGAAAGTGTGTGAGAGAGCATGTGTGGATATGTGCAACTTTCGGTGCATGTACATGTGAGATTGTACAGATGCTGTTATGACTGTATGTATCAATGTCTATTATATATATGGCTTATTTGTGACTCATACATGTATATATCATACATATTGAGTCAGTACCTGAGCACGTTTCTGATATCCAACTGTTTTCCTGCCCAATAAATATGCTACAACCATGAGATGGTTAACTCAGTTTAGCCTAGAAGCAGGGGTTAACAGCTAGCTCTGTCCAAAGTTAACAAAATATGCTCATAAATCCCCCCAAAACAACAAGTTTGCTGTCATTTTTACACTTTATTTTGTATTAATTATTACATGAGCTCTAACGTGTAAATTAGTGAGCTTTGCAGCTACTGGTAGGCTTATTTTTTTTAACCTTTGGACAGAACCGGGCTAGCTGTTTCCTCCTGCTTCTAGATATTATGATGAGCTAAGCTAAGCTGGCCGTAGCTTCATAGCAGCTTCAGCTGTCACTGTGGATTGAAGGCAATAACACAGTATGAACCTGTGTCTTATGTGGTCAGTGACAAAGTGTTTTCCTTCTCACAGGAGGCATGCTGTGCGTACGTGCTGATGGTGACCGCAGTCTACTGGGTGTCTGAGGCGGTTCCCCTGGGTGCTGCTGCTCTGGTACCCGCCTTCCTCTATCCGCTGTTTGGGGTACTTAAGTCCAGCGAGGTGGGTCTCCATCATTAGTCGTCTGACAGTTTTAGTTCTGCAAAAACTTGTTAGAGTGCTAACTGTAACTAAACAGTCAGGTAGACAAAGTGTGACATAGTCTATACATTTTGTTTATTCTTTATCTTATGATTTCTGGCCCCAGATAAGGGTCATATTTTGGTTCTGCTGTTTCTTCCATCTCCACAAATGTAGAGCTGCTTTCATTGTTCTGGGGTTTTGGCTACCTTGAAGGACAGAAATGCTACAAAACAGTTCTGATATTTTTATTCAGGAGACACAGAGCAACGTTAGCACACATTAGCACGAGCTGCGTTTTTTTCCCCCCAGCCTCACAATAAGTCTAATTTCACTGTTTTAATTGCTTTGTTTCGGTTTCCACCAGCTTTATCTGGCTCATTAGCTAGCTAGGTGTTTGACTTCCTTTCCACTCTAATGTTAGTCCCAAACCTTCTCTGTAAGCTAACAGTGGAGCTTTTTTGCTTTAAAAAATGGCCGCCTGCTGCTGCTGGAAACAGTGAGCTAAAAGAGGCTAAAAAGCTACATAAGGCCCCAGAGCTGGATAGCTATCTCTGGGCTTTGTCACTGCCAGTTGTCATACATCTACACCAGTCTTCAACAGCCAGGTGAACATTTAGTTGCCCCCCTCCACCTCCTCTGCATTTGCTTCCAATAGACAAATTATGTTGGCTGATAACATTATCTCTTCACCGCATTTACATAGCAGTTTTATGAAATCAGTGGAATCAGAAATTGCCCTGTAAACAGCAAGTTCTGATCGCTTCAACCTAAATAAGGACTTGATTGGAGTACGCACACTGGAGCAGAGACATGGAGACAATTTAAGCTGCAATATTATAATAACAGTGGTTTAGTTATTTAATTTAAGTAATTATTGTATAATTGGTGTGTTTATATATCCAATAACAAACTCCTTCTATCTGTTTACATGGTGTACTAACAGAACTGTTTGTATAATGTTTACTTGTTACAGAACTCATTTGATAACTTATCTCAGTTTTTCTGCAAGGGTTGTAAAATTTAAATTTTTTTTGTTTGGGAAGAGTAAATATTGGAAGGTGAAACAAGGGCTCTGTTGCAGTGTGTCAACCTTTGTCACTCTAAAGGGGGAAAAGTGAGAAAAACACTTATTATAAAGCATAAAGGGCTTAACAGCAATGTAGGGAACAAGCAGGACTACCGTGAATGCTGGGATATCTGGTTGTGACGGCATGTTACTGTGCTGGCAGTAAGAGTCAGCTGATCAGATTGCTGTATATGCGAATGTACAGTAAGTCCAGATCAAGAAGAAAATGGGTGAAAGGCCTTTTTGTGCTCTGAACTGCAAGAAGTCTGATCAACTTACATCGCTCTTTGCTTTCGAGTCTATGGGAAATTTTTCTGCATATGTTTCCATGAGGATTTTATGATGCGGTGTAACGTGTCAGTCAGAGTACGACAGAGGCTTTGTCACTTAGCTGTAAAGGTTTTATCAGCCATAACTATATGGAGCATGTAGAAAACCCCATTAACCTGGTACTCATCGTCATTATCTCACTAATGTTTCAGTGTTCTTTCATCTCTGAGTACATTGCATTCAAACGTACCTCAAACGCTTTAACAACCATCATCAGCCCTCAAATTTAAGTGGTTTGACTGACGATGACAGCCGGCGGCGTCACTAATTTTTATACTACTTTTATACACAAGTTTCCTCTCAAATGAGCTCAACGCCCCCCCCCCATTCCTCACCTTTCTTATCAGCATTACATAAAAAGGGAGCTGTACGCCTCATGTGACCCAATCGCATTGACAAACGGTGACAAAGCTGCCTGTTAACGGGGCTGTAAGCCTCTTGTGATGGGGTTTCGGTAAATATGCCAGCAGAGCTTTATGCAACATTTTCTATTATCGTACCTCCAGTCTCCCCTGAAACCCCCTCTCTCCTAGTGAGTATTGGCTCAATGCCTGCATAGCACATTGCTATTAAAGTACATACAACTAAAGATCTTCTGTCACTCATTGTTTTGACAAGTTTTCCACTTGTCATTTTCTAAATAATTGAGTGTCCAACGTTTTTCTTAAGACCAAAGACATAATATTGAAATAAATTTTAAATGAAACTGAAACGATGACTAACTGATTGCTGGCTGTAAATCCAAATCAAAACAGATTAACAAGGATTCTAAATGTATCACTGACATTGGTGAGCCAAGGAAGTTATAGAAGACAGATAACCAGTATATTGTACAGTATATGTAGCATTTATTATAAGTCTGTTAAACCTGGAACTTGTGCCTCACTTCTACATATTACATTAGGCATCAGTGAGCATTTCAATGTTTCAATCCATTTCTTGACTAATTATTTTATCCAGTTTGTAGCTCCATCAAAATGATCAAGCAACAGTTAGTACTTGAAAATTATCCTACTTCTCTAATTTCAAAAACATTCATGTAAGAAAAATTCTGTAATGCATTTCATGTTATAGTTGCAATTAAATAAATAAAAGTCTGGCTGGAGGAAGTGCCATGGGTATTAGGTGAGAGGTGAGGAGACGCTGGGGCGGGCTTATACAACACTGTGAGGCCGTGAACCCTGCAGGTGGGAAGTAGAGCAGATTAAAAAGAACAAATGGCAAACTGTAAGTGTTGATCCAAATAAAGGAGGGGGAAGTAGGGAAGTGGGTGAAGGAGGGAAAAGAAAAAGGACCCTGTCACTCCTTCCTGTCCCCTCACATCTCATGCTGTTTATTTTTCTTCTTGTAATTATATGAACTTTTATTTTATTATCTTGAAATGTGCCTCTTTCTGTGTATATGTGTGTGTTTAGGTGGCAGCAGAGTATTGTAAGGACACCACTTTGCTGCTAATGGGAGTCATCTGCCTGGCAGCCTCCATAGAGAAGTGGAACCTGCACAAACGCATCGCTCTGCGCATGGTGATGATCGCAGGGGCCAAGCCCGGCATGTGAGCAGAACACGCACACACACTTAACACACAGTCAGTAAAAAGGACCTGCTCATACACACTAAATCCAAAACTGAGAGTGAGGTCTGACCAAAATTTCCTTACTCACGCACACACCAATGTGCCTGTCTCTCTTGTCCAGGTTGGTGCTGGGCTTTATGTGCTGCACAGTGTTTCTGTCCATGTGGCTCAGCAACACGTCCACCACAGCCATGGTGATGCCCATAGCCGAGGCCGTCCTGCAGCAGCTGATCTGCACCGGCCTAGCCGACAGCCACAACGACTCCGAAACCGCAGAGGCCCCCGAGGATGACGGCGGTACGTCTTGCTCTGTCGCATACAGGGGGAGGTCACTGAGCTATAAAAGCTTCTGTGGATCCAACTGTAGCAGAACAATCTCTCTTGTTAACGATGCAAACTTTGGAAACGCCACCAACAGTTCTCCAGTCACACGTTTATGATGAATGTTGCTTTCTGCAGCTGTTTCAGATAAAGAAGAGAATCTGGACAAAAACCAGCTAGAGCTTCTCTATCGCAACGACAGGTACGTCTGTTGTTATTATGAATTATTTTGGTTGCGATAATCGTGTAGTGAAAATCTGATGTTTATATATATACTTAAGTATGTGTATTAATAACCCCAATTCTTCTCCCTCTGCAGTGACTGCAATAAACAGGAGCTCTCTACACTAAGTGAGGTGAGACCTGCAAAACCTTTTTTTTGCCAAGTAGACAGAAGTCAAATAAATAGCAGAAGTGCAACAGAAAAATCTATAAACTGTAAGTGAGGTGTTATTCTCTTGTTCTCAGGTCCAGACTGAGGAGGTCAATGGTTTGGGTCTAAGGGCAATGTCTAACCAGTACCTCAGACACACCAATGGACACCTGCCTCAGGTTAGAAACACACTCAAACAGATTATTAGAGGTTAAAGAGGTGGTCGTGTGACAGGAAGGTTGCTGGAAACAAAAACGAAGAACACTCCCTGTTCCCTCACCAGTTCCAGACAAATAATGTCAGTAACATTTTCCATTCATTTACAATATTCTCCTCACTCTCTCTTAGGTTGCTATCGAAATCCCAAACGTGAAGCGGGTGAGGGCCAGGAGAGACTCCCAGTATCCCACCAAGAGGGATCACATGATCTGTAAATGCCTGTCACTCAGCATCACCTACGCTGCCACGATCGGCGGCCTCATCACCATCACCGGGACGTCAACCAACCTCATCTTTGCAGAGCAGTTTAACACGTAGGTACACATGCTTGCACACACACTTAACTGTAATGAGTTGAAAATCTTCCATCCATCCGCTGACAGTACAAATAGATATCAAAGCAGCTTTCAAAACTGGTGTCAGGCAGATATTTTAGTTTGGTATTAGTCTGTAGACACCATCTCAACTTTCAAGCACATTTACAGTTTGATTGATTTCTTGGCTGCTGGGCCGGTTGGACTGAAACAGTTCATGTTAACTCAGTATCTGGGGGGCACGCGTGTTCTGAGATCAAACTAATCAGCCTCTGCAGTCCTGACAGAGCCGATTTCCTCCAGCTGCAGCGCTAAGCCCGGCAGAATGGCCTCCTTCATGATGCAGCTTGTTGTACAAAGGTCAGGTTTTGATTGTGTATGTGTGTGTGTGTGTGTGTGTGTGTGTGTGTGTGGGTGTGGTGTGGGGGGGTTAGCGTGCGCAGTAGTAGTCCTAAAGAGATGTTACCAGGACCAGCAACCAATCCAAGCGGTAAATCTCCCCAAATTATGCCTTCAAGTTGGAATTTTTAAGTAAAATCTTGGTAAAATGTTGTCAAATAAAGTCAACTTGCATGTATATGAGGTTGGTGTGTGTGTGTGTGTGTGTGTGTGTGTGTGTGTGTGTGTGTTTGTGTGTGTGTGTTCAGGTCAGTCAGTCCAAGTCCTTGTCTGCAACAAGTCTGTGCTAGTAAGACAAAGCCAAGCAATCAACTTGACCCCCCCAACACACACAAGCTTTGACAGGCACGCTTGACCCTTTGCCCCTATGACTGAGGTTAAAGATAAATATTAAGCCTCTTGATAAGCTCAATTACACGGACACAGACTGTAAAAGCAGTCGGCAGACAGATAATTCTGATTCAAGTCTTTTATCCTGCGTTTTTAGTCTGCAGTTGATGCTTTGTGCTCCGGTTTATATGTTGTTATGTAACTGAGCTATTTTAAATCGTGTAAGCACAACCTGGATTTAGTGTTTTGAAGAGCTAGAAAGTTTTATGAATTGTTGTGATTAGTAGTGTGTGTGTCTCTTTGTATGAATGTGCAATGGGTTTGTTGTGATTTGGAAGTTTTGCACTGAATGATGGAAAAGGTGAGCGGAGGAGACCAAACCAGAGCTAAAATGAGAGTTAACAGGCTTACAGTCATCAGGAGGAAAAGTGACTTCAACTTCATGCTAATGTTGCTGCATGTTAGCAGACAGACAACTGTTTATTAGCACATTTATAATAACAACTTTATAAGGTGATAGTATAGTATAGATTCAGTGTTGTTGCGCTGCCCCCAGGTGGCCAAAAAATTGTTAATTTTGGTTTAAAGAAGGTAGACAGGAATAATTACATTCTAATGTCCTTATGTTATGCATTTAGTAAATTTTACACATTTTTCCTTTTTTGTTTTTGTCTTTTTAAAGACTTCTTTAAGCCATAGTTAATCTTTGTTGATACATATTTACAGTGCATACCATGATTTTGGAATATATTTTGTAAAATGTCATAGCCTCTTCCTTATATCAGTTGTTGTTGCTTATAGGCCATGCTTTACCCAACTTTGTTCTTCAAATCAGTGCTACATCACTGGTCATGTAGTATTGCTTTCCTGTACTTTCACAGCAATTGATGGTGAAGGATCACTGAGGATTATTTAAAGGATGGCAGAGTCATTTCTGCAGCACGCACACGATCATCATCTCTCAATGTCACCTTTTCCCTACTTGGTGTCCATACAGCTCACAGCTCAGTGAAGCACGTCTGAGCAAACGCACCTTACCACCTGTACAGTTACCTGCTCTGTTAGAGCTTAGCGTGCACTGAAGATGAATGACCACTAGTACACGGCACAGACAGCTGTTTGGTACTGAGCCCTACGATAGTTTTCTTTTCTTTATACAACAGTAACAAACAATCTTGAGTGTCATCTGTGTAAACATCTCTTACGGTGCCTCACACTGACAGTGACTTTGATGGTGTGTCTTCAAGTCAGTAACCCTTGTGGCCCCTGCTGACTATAAAGTGGAGCTTTCGAGGAAATACAAGAACCATAGGTGGTGGCAGTAGCATTAAATCACACACACACACACACACACACACACACACACACACACACACACACACACACACACACACACACACACACACACACACACAATAATTTAGTGTATACCACTATTACTACTTCTGCTTCTGCACCTCTTCTGCTTCATTCCTCAAAGGAGTAGAGGGAAATACATTAATTGTCATTAGGGATGTGTTTAAAATCAAAGCTACTGTATAGCAATTGGTATGCAAACCATTTTAGTAAGAACCCTTTTATGAAGGGTTTATAAGTTGTTACTAATGCTGGTTATAAAACATTTACTAATTTGTTATAAGCCATATGTCATTGGCAGTCAAGACATGAACAAAAAGTCATGAGATTCTCACTTTTTAATAAGCCATTACCTATACTAAGTCTACTAAGTTTTTTAAATTATAATATATAATATATAACTATAATGTTATTAATATACTACATTCTGTCCACCCACTATGGCACAGATACGCAGATGGGAATGACAAAAGCTGTCAGTCAAAGCAAACACATGAGGGTCAAGGTAGGCAGCTGATGGGGTTAAAATGGTTATATCTTACTCTGATAAGGTCCCATTTTTGTTGGTGTTGTCAGTGGTCCCAAGGTTCAGAGGTTGTGTAGTATTTAAACATCAATATATCACATTAACAGTCAATGCGACTGTAAACAAATGATGGTGGCTGGTGGCTCCGTGCTGCGCATATCCCATCAGCCCTCTTCCTACTGGCTGCAAAAGCCATTTCTAGCCAACATTGTATAAAATAAGTGTTAAATGTTAATAGCCTACACACACAAACACACACACATGCCGACATCCTAATCAAACTCTCTGTCTCTCTCTTTGTTTGTCTTTCCAGTCGCTATCCAGATGCAAAGGTGATTAACTTCGGCACGTGGTTCATCTTCAGCTTCCCCATCGCCATCATCATGCTGATCCTCACCTGGCTCTGGCTGCACTTCCTCTTCCTTGGCTGCAAGTGAGTGTGTGTGTGTTTGGGTGTGTATTTTTATTTTTGTATCCCGGTGTACTGTGTGATTATGGTGGTGTGTGTATCCTACACGTCCACTTCTTACTTGCTGGGCAGGAGTAATGCATCTTATCATTATAGACTCAGGATAATCCCTCAGTCTGCACACCTTTGAGCCACGGTGCCTCTTGAGTGTGTCAGGTCACCGTGTGGTTGATGTTTGTTGTTGTTGCGTGTCTGCTCAGCTTTAGGGAAACGTGCTCGTTGAGCAAGAAGCGCAAGACCAGGAGAGAGATGCTGTCAGAGAAGAGGATCCATGAGGAGTACGCAAAACTGGGACCCATCAGGTGTGTACATGCATATCCTAAATGATGATCCCTGGAAAATTTGAAGTTGTATGGGAATTTGGTCATTTCCTGTCCAAATACTGCAAAAACATCCAGCTCTATGTAAGATTAAAATACATATAGAAAACTAATGAAAGCCTGAATTTGTTTGGAAATGCATGCAATTATTCACCTGAGTGGAGGATTGTGAGACTTTTAAAGTCCAAATAAACATCAATACTGTTGGCAGTAACCTGTGTGTGTGTTTGTGTGTGTGTGTTTGTGTATCTTACTCACACACCCAGAAATGACATCGTGGCACAATCATGTTATCGCTCATGTAACTGTTGCTCACTTGCTTTTGTGGTTTTGCGTGCGTGTTCCAGCTACCCGGAGGTGGTGACCGGTGTTTTCTTCATCCTGATGACTCTGCTGTGGTTCACCAGAGAGCCTGGTTTTGTCCCCGGCTGGACATCTCTTTTTGAGAAGTGAGTACCCATAATTTGCGACACACCACTGCAAGTGTTAACGATCAGACAGGTGTAAGTGGCTTTAGGTGGGTAGTGCGGTTTGACAGTGAGAAATACATAAACACACACTGTCACACAGACGGAGAGCACATAGACAGTGCAAGCATGCACTGTGAGAAAACTTTATGTTGAACTTAAAGCTTTTCTCTCTTCTTCTTCTTCTTCTTCTGCATGTTTTATATCTGTGTTTTATGTTATGTGGGTGTTTTCCCTCTCAGGAAAGGCTACAGGACCGATGCAACAGTGTCTGTCCTTCTGGGCTTCCTGCTCTTCCTCATCCCTGCCAGGCGACCCTTCTCATCCTCCTCCTCCTCCAGCTATAGCAACACAGGTCGGGATACTCATCCAACTGGCACTTTTTGATATAACTGTACTATGTTTGGTTTATCTCCTCAGGGCACCAGACGGGTGGGGTTTAACATATCGGACAATGTAAGGGGTATCAGTGAAGCTGTTCAGCACTGCAAATCAACCTCAGTTACCATTTATATATTTACTGTGATGGTGCAGACATCACATTGTGGTTGTTATGGTCTACTCAGTTCATCTGTCAAGTTTAACTCAAACAATAGAAACACAACACAACACTTAATATTCTTCTAATCCCAAAATCGGTGACAAAGTAAGTCTCACGCCTGCCCTGCTGTTACCAGCCAGTGAAGGTTGATTTATTGCCCGTCTGCAGGTTCACTAGGTCAGAAAAACCTCTGTTTAAACAGGAAAAGCTCAACTTCAGACACAGTCGTTTTCCACGGTTGAGCAAGAGTTTGAAAAACACTGGAAAACTCTGACATTTATTGTATTTCACTGTGCCGCTCAACACATGTTTTAGTGTGGTCACTCGACAGTCCACTAACCTCTTAACACCGTAACCTGTAAGAGAGGCAGATCTAGTTCAGGCGTGTAAACAGCTGCGAGCCATTTGTCTTTTTACAATGTTTGATGTTTAAGACATAGACAAAACACACAAACTGGACAAAAACTATGTTCAACATTTTACTCTTTTGCTAAAGGTTATCTAACAGGACATGAATTCATTCACATGAATTCACTGCTTCAGAAAATGTAGTATTTATTTATTTTTTGGGTCCTCAATTTTAAACTGGAACTGTGTTATTTGGTAGTAATTATAGAGAAAATAGTTTTCAACTTAATTAAATAATTAAATAATTATTTGATATAAATCGCTAGAATACCGCAGCCTAGATTGTCTTCACAACAGGTCTGCTGAAATGCGAAAAAAAAGCATACCAATTAACATATTTGTTTCCAATAATAAAGTTTCCAATAATAAATTAATATTACTTTTAGTTTTTCTTTTAAAGAAATTTCTATTTTCCTTATGATTAGGACCAAATTCTGTCTAAATCATTTGGACGTAAAGCATAAACTATCTATCGTATACTGTATATATGCTAAAATACAATGAAGTTACAAATAAGTTCTCTTTCCGCAGAAACTAATCTCTAAATATCACTCATTACCAAAAAACTAAACAGTACAAAGCTGTGTTTTTAAAATCCACAATATTTTTGTACAGAAATACTAAAAATATTGATAATAAAATGATTCTTAGGTGTGACGATTATTAAATAAAAACAACGCATTACCCCATCCAGCTGTACTGATAAATATTCTCTGTGGTTTTAAACCATCAGAGGACGATGACCCACTGGCTCCCATGATCACCTGGAAGGACTTCCAGAGACTGATGCCATGGGAGATCGTCATCCTGGTGGGAGGAGGCTATGCACTGGCTGCTGGTTGCAAGGTACTATACATGTGTTTGTTTGCTGTTGTATTGCATTACTGTACCATCCTAGGAGTAGGTTGAGGGTTAGGAGCCATTTTTATCTTCAAGATTAGCCTCAGGTTTTCTCATGGAGTTTTAAATGTTCAAATGATGTGATTTACATGCATCTAATGAGATTGAATCTGGTAATGACAAGAGATGGCCACCAGGAGCTCTAGCCTCTTACTGTCTGTCTGCACAACCTTGATTTAAATGACTTGAGGTCAGGTTCAGGTAGACATGATTGCAACTGGAGTGTGAGAGGCTGACTCTTTGAGGTTGCTTACATGTCTGTATGAATATCTGTGTGTGTGTGTGTGTGTGTGTGTGTGTGTGTGTGTGTGTGTGTGTGTGCAGGTGTCAGGCCTGTCAGTGTGGATTGGCAGACAGCTGGAGCCCATGAGTGGTCTTCCTCCCTGGGCCGTCACCCTGCTGGCCTGTCTGCTGGTGTCGGCGGTCACCGAGTTCGCCTCCAACCCGGCAACTCTCACCGTCTTCCTGCCCATCCTTTCAGCGCTGGTACGACACACACTCTCACACTTAGAGTCGGGAGACACAAACAAGGGGGAAAAAAGCACATACAATTCAGACTTGTGTGTTTAGATGAATAAAGTAGGTCCTTTATGTGAATAATGCATTCAGTGAGGCTGTGCTCAGAAAATAATAGGTAGTCCAAAATTTCTAACTTACACAATGAAGAGGGAATTTCTGCATAGCGAGCACACTAGCAAAACAAAAGAATGAAATACTTCATCTAAAGGATGCTGAGAGATCAATATCACTACCAGCACTGTTAGCGTAGCTTAGCTTAGCATAAAGACTGAAAATAGGTAGGTGGTGCAGTCCAAAAGTACAGTCAGTAAATCAGACAACAAGCACTTCAGAAGCTCATTAATTGACACATTGTACCTCGTTGCCTGGCAACCTCACGGTGATGACAAGACTCCAGAGTTGCTTTCCAGTTTTTATGCTAAGCTAAGCTAAGCTAAGCAACTGCTGGTTCCAGCTTCACACTGAACAGACAGATATGAGAGTAACTTCTCATGTAACTCTCAGCAAGAATGCGAATAAGTGCATTTTGTAAAATGTCGAACTAGTCCTTTAAAAGCCACACATTACCTCTAATCTTCCTCTCTATGATCTGCTTTTGCTGTGTTGTGTGTGGCCATTTTGAATTAATAGCGTCACTTAGACTTTTTACTGTGGGAAGCTAACGTGTTAGCAGGGAACACTAATATCCAACGCTCTTGTGTTAGTGTAATTGCACCTTGGTATGTAAATATGAAAGCCTATGAAAGCAGCTTTCAACATGACCTTTGACCTCTCCTCTTCCTAATGCTCTCCATTTCTTCATCTACCTTCTGTCATTTCTCCCTCCTCCTCTCACCTGGTTCATCTTTTTCTTTCCCTTTCTCTCTCTTTACCCCTGTTGTTCTTCTTCAACCTCTTCCTCCTTCCAGTCAGAGACTCTGCTCATCAACCCCCTCCACACTTTGATCCCGGCCACCATGTGCGTGTCATTCGGGGTTATGCTTCCAGTGGGGAACCCCCCCAACGCCATAGTCTTCAGTTACGGCCACGTGAAGATCAGCGACATGGTACGACACACACACACACACACACACACACACACACACACACACACAGAGTCACATGTTCTTTCTGCACCTGCAGCATCAAAAGGCTCAAGAGTACAATGTGTCAAAGTTGTTGTTCAGAGGGATGAGGATTTTTCTTTTTATTAACTCTTGGCGAACCGAAACACCAAATAATCATATTTATTTTCATATAAACTAATTTTACAACTCATATTTTTCAACATATTACCATTTATTTTTCCTTTCCCTCCTCCTCATATCCAGGTCAAAGCCGGCTTTGGGGTCAACCTGATCGGCGTGGCGGTAGTGATGCTGGCCATCACCACGTGGGGGGTTCCCCTCTTCAACCTGACTGAGTTCCCAACCTGGGCAGTGGCCAGGAACGTCAGCGGGAGCTTATAACCACCGCCGGGTTGCGGCTGGTAGGAAGGAAAGAGATGGGGCGGTGTTTCTGTGAGGAAAGACGACATGGAAATGTGTCAAGAGGACGGTCTTGCTCAGAGTTAAGCCCTCTCTTAGACTGATTAAACTGGACCTGAAGGAGGAAGAAGGATGGAGGGAAGGAGGAGAAGAAGACAAGAGCGAAAAAAACATTACCTGTTGCTTAGCTACAATAATTCGAAGTGTATACTTTTTGGCCATAAGGGGGCGTTACGAGGAATTCAGAATGCCTTTGTCAAAGTGGCCAGTGTGTGGAGCTCTGACCTCCAGCAAGAACCTTTTTGTTTTACCTCCGTTAACGAAGTTTGACGGAGATTCTGTTTTGACCAAAATCACTGAAGATATTACTAAAAAGCTACAAACATATTTGGTGATCAAGAACTGATATTTTGATTTATAATAGAAACAATGATAAGTTAGGTTTTTAGAAGCTGCCTGGTAAGTGTCCTCAGAGCCACACACCATGCCTGTGGATTATTTTGCATTTAGATAGAAATAAGCTACTGTAGATAAGCCTCTCTTTACTGCATGCTTGCTGAACTTCTGCTGCACTTAAATGTATTGCTCTGCAGCCAGATCACATACGTTTATGATCACAAATTTAGTTTCGATGTATCACTTTGGCTACACTGTCCAGTGTAAAAGAAAGAGCCGACTGCTGTAGTAAAGCTGCAGTAGGTAATTTTTATAAAAATAACTTTTTGTAACATTTGCTGAAGCTTTCACTATATCCTGACAGTAGAACATGAGTTGTGCTCCTAATGGGATTTGTAAGAATCCACTGGGCCTGAACGAAAACAACCAATCAGAGCCAAGAAAGATATAAAGACGCTTTGCATTGGAGGCCAAGAAAGATAGTTGACTGTTGAGTCTAATTCCCAGGGTCCCAAAGCATCTCTATTATTTTTATAGGTTCCTACTGCAGCTTCAAAGCAAGATAAATGCATGAAAAGAGGCTTCTACTATGGCTGATAATGTACTGTATACATAAGAGTCTACATGATCTGTTTCTTAAGATATAAAAGCCTGTGTATATTTAGCAACACATTGAAAGCATATACACAGGCATAGCTGCTACCTGCATTGCTTTACAAATCTAGGAATGATGTCTCTACCAAAGTTTCTGAAGTTTATTTTGTGAGCGATCATACTGTGAACATTTTGCCGTTTTGTTTACTCAAAGCGCCTTGCAGTAACACAAGTGCCTTCACCATATTGCCTGTCATATTACACTTTAACATCACACGTCTCCTGTGGGAACCTCTAACCCCGACAGTGTTAATGCCTTGCTGTGATCTCAGCGCAGCGCAGGATGGAAAGCAGTAGTGTAATTTGCTTTTTACTCTGCTTTCTCGCAGCCATGTTCTCAATGTAAATTAAGTATATTAAGAATGTAAACTGTACTATATTTAATATTTTACTAGCTGATGTTGTCACTTTTGCCAATATGATTTTAAACCTTAAAAATTTGATCAGTGTAAAGTCAGCAGGTACACTCAAACAAATCTTTATTGAGCATCAATATCTACAGAAATGATCAAGATACATATATATTTGTATGAAACTTGTTACATCAGCATGTTAAGCAACAGGATGACCATGTTTGGTCTTTATTTCCTCCTGGCATGTGAACACAGAAGGATTTGGGAGGCTGCAGAGTCACAGCCTTTAAGGAGGAGAGACAGTGAGGTAGCACAGGGTTGTATGGTTCAGTAGTTCGTTCAATCAACTTGTCAAATCACATTAACTGTTGTCTGGTGGTGAAAAGGTTTGCACGTAACATTCACTGTACTGTGCAAAAATATAAAAAGATATGCTTTATATTTTTACACAAATTTTAAATGTAATTTGTGGCTCTTTTTTTTATATCATTCCATTATAAGTTTAGGTTCTAGTGTAGGCAGAATCAAAAGCCTACACTGTTCTTTTGTAATTTATTCAGTTCTACTGAAGGTTTCTTACATCTTGATGGTGTTGCAGCAGTGACCTTTGACCCAGGGGCCACACTCCTTTGTAAATACATACAGATTTGTAATATAATGTGCCTTTGCCTTTTTTTCAAAATGAGATGTTATATTCCTAAATTATGTGTTATATCTTGATGTTTCATTCATATCTAACTCGGACAAAACCTAGAGTTAGAATGATACAACGTTACACATGCACAGCAATAAAACAACTAAAACCACTGATTGTATTGATTTATTTTATTTATCTACATACACCACCACAAGCCTGTCACACGTTTGAGATTTTTCCTAATGAGTCTCTGTCCTGAAATTAAAAGTTCACTATCAGCAATCAGTAAAGATTAGTTTTTATCTGTAAAATCACACTAACAGAAATAGAGAGGAGGTGAAACACATCACAAAAAAATCATCTTGGACAGTGTTAGGATGAGTGTTGATACAGACCCAGTGTGTGTGATATGTGTAAGGGCCGCACTGATCACAAAGTACTCTATTCACGAGTAATCCAACTGACTGAGAAAACTGGATTCATTCCTTTGCTATCAAACATCTCAGACCAGCTGGGTGGGTGAACATGATCTGACATAGTGTTTCTGAGGGGGGAAGCTCAGAGCGCTCTTGCTGCATATATGCATGTTCTTGATGCAGCTTTCATCTCTGTACAAATAAATAACAATAAAGGGGAAGTTCAGGTTCATAATAAAGTTGGGAAACTCTTCTCCAAGTCCTGCACATCTGGCCCTGGTCTGAATAAGGCTAAAAGTCAGTTAGTCGCAGATGTTGATAGTCTGCCGTCTCGTGGTTAAGACGGCTGCCGGGGGTCTTCAGCAGGTTTGAAGCTTTCTGCCTGCATCTTCTCTTTGTATTTCAGGAAGTCTCTCCTCTTGGCAAAATATTTCACCTGCAAGGGAAAAATGGAAAAGAGGATTTAAGCTTTCAGCTGACTGACGTGTGCTTGTGTCAGTGGTGATTATTCGCCTGTTTGAGTTTTACTTCTCCAGAATGCTTACATCACGATATATGGTAAATACAGACCTCACTCATCACAAAGGTAAAAAGAAAGTATAGTTTACCCACTGAGCAGGGCAAGTTGTCTCAAACTCGCTCTGGAACTTCTGGCAGGATGCAGCTTTGTCATCATTGTCATCCAGACATTTCCACAGCCGGTCTCTGGCGTCCCAGCAGGCCTTCCTCTCTGCAGAGTTTGGAGCCGCCATCACTGTTTGACCCTGGGAGGGACGTAAAAAAAGAACAGTAACAGGAATGAATGAAACAGCTGAAATACAGCATTATGAATAATTGGCTACCTTAAAACAAGCTGAGAAGTATCTTCCTGTAGTCCTTCCTTACAGTAATAATAATGCTGTGTGTTCACTGTGTGTCCTCATATACTGTCCCTCAGGTGCACACCACTTGTAATGTGACTGTATGCTTATGATGTCACTTTACAGCCTCAAATGACCTAATATCTTAATTTAACCTAAATAAGAGCAGTGCACCGTGTTCACTTTGACCAGACGACCAACAGTTCAAACCCCTCTCTCTCGTCCAATCCGAGGACGGTGAGCCGCAGTTACAAACTCCCCTCACTCACCGGATAAAACGCTAAGACCTCCGAAAGGATTTCTTCGTCCTATCCACCTCTGCTGTTTGCTTCTGTCACTCCATAAACAGCAGAAATATCAGAGTACAGCCGTGAAGAAAGGACAAGACTTTTTGTAACGCGTGAGCGAAGTGAAGGGCGCGCACAGCGGCGCTTCCTCGTCGCGTCGTGATGACGTCAAGGCGCGTTGGCCCTACCGCGCCAGGTGATGGCGCAGGTGGTTCAAAAAATCAAGTGACAAGTTAGAAAACATTCACTGCGACTGTAAACAGCCAAATAAGTACAGCTGACTGAACCACAATCCCTCCAGAAGACCCTTTTCAAACACAATATGGCGTCTTATGTAACTTATGTGGCGGTGTCAGTGTTCCTCCGGTTGCCATGATACACGACCGGAAAGAAGCAACAGGTGAGTTATTGGTCAGCTGACGTAAGCTAATGTAGCATCCCTCCCATGTGTCTCATCGATCTCATTTCAACATGTGTCATCGTGGTTAAAATGGCTTCTTCAGAGCTAGTTATGTAAAGAATAATAAAGGCTCCTGGTTTAATAACTCATAGACAGTATGTGCCAAACCAGCTCTGAAATGTTGTAATGAGTTTTTTTAATTTTTTATTTTTTATTTATTAGTTGCATAGCTTGGAGTAGCGCTTAAACAATCAATCAATCAATCAATTAGTTTAATGACAGAAAAAATCTGCAATCATTTTGATCAATTAAGTTGTTTAATTGAGCAGAAATGCCAAATATGTGCTGCTCCCAGTCTTTTTTGGTTCTTTTCTCTGTTTCCTTAATAGAATAATGTATAAAAATGAAAATCTCTCAGAAGTTGACATTCTGAGGACATTTTTCACAATTCTTTCTGAAGGTATGTTATGTTTTATATCCGTCATGTGACCAATGATTAAAACATATATGCTTGATTAAGTTGATTAAAGTTGCATTAGCAAATAAGGATGATTGAGCACCGTGTAATAAATAGAAGGCTGATATATTGCATGAACTCTGTACTGAGAAACCGGATGGATAAACAGCAAACTCACAGCAACGATTAGGGCCACACTAATCACAGTTTCTCCCTGCAGCCGTACAACAGGATCTTGAGATATAGGGAGCGCCACATAATCATGCAAAACAACTCCATATTTGGAAATGAATAAGTTGTCAGTTACATGATAAGGTTAGATAGTGTTAATCAATCTGTAGCAAAGAACAGGCATATTGTCTATTTGTATGTAAAGTTTCAGATTACACCCGGAGGCGTTGGAGTCAGATACCACAAGGAGGGAAGGCGCCTACAGCTGATGGGAAGAAGACGACGCCTTATTGTGACGTTTCTCACTGATTTACTATAACACACTGGGTCAGGGAGAGTTAGAGAGTCGGACTTTGTGAACTGACACACACTTGGTGGCTTGTCAGGGATGCTATAGTTTGGACCCAGAGCTCTGTAAACTTTGCATACTCTACTGGTGTTAAGAATAAAGCTGATTATTGAGTAAACTAAATCTTCTCCTGTTGCTTCATTAAAAGAACACACGAGGATAAGGGTTTAAAGAGATCGCTTTCCTCAACATTTCACAGATAAAATTATTCCGAAAGAGGAAAAAGACTAGATGATTTGACAATTACAATAAATAGTACAATGCAGGTTTAGTTTAGTTTTCTAGTAATTTAAAGTGAGCAAAAGTGTTGTCATTTGGTAGTATTTGAAAAACGAGAGATCCCTGTCCTCAGAACTAGTGTTCGACTGATATGGGATTTTCAGTGGCCGACGCTGATCTTTAGAGAGCTGGGCTACTGATATATAATGCTGATATCAAAACCAAGTCAAATCAATGTTCTATTGTTTTCTATTCTATGGGAAATTCAGGCATATGTTTGTGTTTATGAAAAGTTATATAGTACATCACTTGAAACTTTTTCACATTCCGAAAATTCACAAGCGCACTCACATTGTTCCACAACAGCCACACTGACAAGGCTGCCTGCAAATGTGTCTGAAGACATGTTTTATTTATCGGCCTTGTGAGCACAGACATCAGCCGATGCAGATTATCTCAAAATGCCAAATAATATGCCCAATTAATGGGCTGACCAATTAAAAGGCCTATCACAATCATTTTGTTGAATGACTCTGACCTTCAACAACACATATATGCTGGATTTTCATGCCTTCATCAATAAGTGGATGTCCTTTTCTCAAAATGAGATCAACAATTAACATATAAAGTTACCATTGAACTGTAGTAGACGTGGTATACATTTTAGTTTTTGTTCTCTAAAATCTTATTTGTTCTGATTTGCCTTCCCCCTGGTGTTTGCTGTAGCATTAACTAGAGGCTAAACGTTTAATTTGTGTATGTTTGTGTGTGCATTCATGTTCCATTAACATCAAGCAGGACAAACTGAATGTTTGTTTCCTCCCTGAAAGCTTCTTTTCCTGCACAGCACAACAAGTGTCTGTCACTGAGCTACATGAATGTACAATAAAGTGTGTGTGTGTGTGTGTGTGTGTGTGTGTGTGTGTGTGTGTGTGTGTGTGTGTGTGTGTGTGTGTGTGTGTGTGTGTGTGTGTGTGTGTGTGTGTGTGTGTGTGTGTGTGTGTGTGCGCGCGCATAGCTTGGCACTGAGTTAAGGCGGAATGAAAATGTGTGTTGTTGATTAACTCTCTCTCTCTCTTTTTCCCTCAGCCACAGTGACGGAGAATAGCCCCACTGGTTGCCATGGCGCCCAGCAGCAATCCATCTCAGTTCGTGTGCTTGTGTGGACTGAAGGGTATGAAAAAACAAGTGCTCTGATGCAGGGTTGAGGTGCTCACCCTCTTCTTAGGAAAGTAAGTGTTTGTCGCCCTGTGCGTGCGTGTGTGTGTGTGTGTGTGTGTGTGTGTGTGAGACTTGAGTGTGTCTCTCTAGCTGCTTGGGAGACAGAACTTCATTCACTATTCATATCACACACCATTTACTGACCTCACTTGAAGTTTGTTTCCTCCACTCTCAATGAGTGTTTTTATTTTGGTTCCCAAGAATTTTTCTTTTTTTTTTTTTTATAAATGTGTCCAATGCTCACAATTCCTGCAAAATAAGCATGCAGAAAGTAGAAGCTACTTTAAAAAATAAACACTTTTATCCTCACAGAAACTATTTTAAATATTTAAAATGCACAGGATCACTTTATGTCAACTACTCTCGACAAATTCAAGGGTCAATGTTTAGAAATTTTACAATATTCACACGGCGCAGTTTTTCCTTTAATTTGCACTTTTCATCCCTACTGTGTACTTTTATATGGATGGGTTGACATTAAAGTTCTCTTGAGTCTTCAGTCTTTATATCATACTCAGGATGTTATGTTAATAATTGGACATGATTCACAGTGACCTTTGGCCACTGAAATGGCTGTTCTTTGCAGAGCCAGTGCCTCCAGCTGAGGTACATCTCTCCTCTACTAGACATGGACATTTTCAGAAGTATTAGCACAGAAGGATTTGCTTATGACCTGTTCAGAAGGTATAAAATGTTTAAAAGGGAATTGTATAAATTGAGTTGAAAGGAGAACATAGAGGGAAGATTTGTTCTCATCAGTTAATATTGAGTTTCTGTGTAGGACCTCAGGGTTTTTTGGTAGTCATTTTTATATAAGTTTGTACATATTACACATAGGTGGTATCAGTGGGATTTTAAACTTGAACCCTGGCAGTGTTAGTGGCTCACCCTGTTGGGTATTGCAGGCTCTCCCCATCACATTGCTCTCACAGGTTGCTGGTTTTAGCTGCTGTGTGAGAGAGGCTTTCATTATAGTCTGAGAGCTGTTGAACCTTTTTTCCCCTTCTGTTACAAAACGACTTATTTTCTGGAAATCTTTTAGGAAACTAGTGAGGTAGCTGATCCACAGTGCCATTTTGAGGCTATTAAAAGCAGTGAAGCCTTCTCTCTTCCTCCCTCTGCAACACTGTCTACAGCAGCCATGTGAGGTGGCATCAGCTTATCTGTGGAGAGGACTAGAAACATGAAGAGGGCAATTAGACTGCAGCAATGTGATGTATTATCCATTCACATCATCATCATAATGATTAATGTCGCTACTGGAAAGACACATTTTTAAATGAGTATCTCCAGGATGAGTACTGTCCCTTGATAGAGAACTAGCTACCACAGCCTAGAGCCAGAGCTTAACTGCATACCTGCTGTGTCTCAGAAGTAATAAAAACGACATTAATGTATTAGTGGGCCTCTTCGTAGAATGGATTGTTCCTCTAAATTCACAGACCACAAAAACGACCTGGCAACTCACTGTCACTTACTTCGTGGACAAAAGAGGGTCTGCAGTGGTCATTAACCTGCTGTCACCTGTCAGTCAGTGTCAGCTCAGCCAGGATGTCAAAAGAAGGATGACAGTACTTGAAATAAGATGGTATAAGTGGGTATAAAGACGAATACAGTAGCTGCAATAGGTTGTCAGGCACAACCTGAATCCCCAGAAGAGGCTGAGATGTCAAGGTATATTTATTGTGGACTCTAGACCAAACCAGTTAAAGTTAAGCCATGCCGGTCTGGTTGATTACCTTTTGATCTCTTTCTTGTATTAGGAGGTCAACACCTCATAGTTTCTCTCACCTCTATTGGTTAGTTGGTACAGCTGCTTTCTGACCATCATGCACCTCTCCACTAGTAAGTATTGTGAATGCACAAACAAAACAAATTTGCACTAAGTTTATGCAGTGTATATGATGAAGAGTTTTGGTTTATTTGATTAGGTTCAACTTTCTTTGGCTTAAGGCAAACCACACCTGTGGTTCATATAGCGCAGCGCTCAGAGCGCTTCAAGTGAAATCTGTTCAACTTTTAACACCGCTGGGCGCTCGGAAAATGAGATTTTGAGCGCTCTCAGCACTAAAAACGCGTTTGGTGGACACAAGCCCTAACTCAGACAATTCCAATCACATTTTAAAGGATATCGACTGATTATCGTTATCGCCAAAATCCCAAAAAATAACGAGATATTATTTTTTGCCCATATCGCCCACTCCTAGTAGTTATATAAAAATTACACACAGTACAGTTGTCATGGATGGGGTAAATTAGCTATAGAGAGCAAAAGTTTTTGAACCATGTTTTTATTTCTCCTATAAATTTGGGAATATTTATATGACTCACTTTTGGAGCCAGCATCAAGTAGCTGTTAGAGGAACTACAGTTTCTGGCAGTTCCTTTTTGGCTACATTTATCAGCCACTGACGTTGCCACTAAGCTAAAACATGCTAAACCACAAGAATTGTCCATGAAGTATCTTAATTAAAACACTGGTCAATCCACCTACATCTGTCTGTCTCTCTCTCTGTCTCTCTCCACTCTCTTTATGTCTCTCTCTATCTTATTTATTTGGTAACTCATAGAAACTGTTATGTAAACACTTTTGATTTTATTGAAATAAGGTTGTTGAGATGATAATGAGAAACTAAATAAGTATGCACAACATGATCTACACATCTAGATTTCTGCTCAGTCCCTCCATTTATCACCACGTGCTGCTAACACGTTCATCTTTTATTTAAATATATAAATATCTTTTCCCCTAGAGACAGCTGAGAAATAGAAAGAAAAGTAAAAATCTGAAAATGCACTGGCATAATGCTTTAAACTGATAAAATAATTTATGTAAATCCAATAATTGGGAAACATTTTGGTCCATATGTGGACTAAAATGTCCTAATAGGTAGTAATCCTAATTCTGTGTGTGTGTGTGTGTGTGTGTGTGTGTGTGTGTGTGTGCGTGCGCGTGTGTGCGTGTGCGTGCGCGTGTGCGTGTGTGCGTGTGTGTGCGCCTGCGCGTGCGCGCGTGCGAGATGAGTCATATGACTTTAAGATCTGTGATGGAACCTTTAGTATGCCAGGAAGGTAAATGTCAGATCACAGTCAGACACACATAGTCTGTAAAAAAGGCCAAAACACACACTTAAATACACACACTCTTGCTCACTTTCAGTTCCAGAAACACACACAAATACAGGCAGGTAGCTCTTACTGTTTTCTGATGCTGCTTGATGCTCATGATGAATGACAACCACTGCATTACTCTCCACAAAACGCCTGAGTTCTGGCTCTTGATTTCTTTTGTTTCGTCTTGCCTTTAAGAGAGATATGACCTTTTAAAGCATAATGGATCTACAAGAATAAGAGTTTATTGATTACTAATTAGAGCAGATTCTCCCTAAAAAAAAAAATTTCTTTCAACACTGACTCATAGGTCAACCTGCCTGTTAATTAATTAGAACACAGACGCCAAAATAAAAGTGCTTTTAGATCCTTGACTCATCCTGCACCTGAATCACAATGTGGCAGTAACCTGAAAGTTCAACAGAAAATGTCCTGAAGTGTGAAAGGGCGGGTTTTTCTTTCTAGAGATGCTATTTTACAAGTTCATCAGTCAAACAGGGACAGATGTACAATAGAGGAGTCAGAGATAGTCACAGTGTGAGTCTAAAGGCTGTTTTTTAATTTAAAGGAACAGGTTACCTGTGGGAGAAATGACTTCCTACCAGAACACAAATGTTGTCATTGCTGGATATGATAATCACCAAACTGTGTAGAGAAGCTGTCATGTTAGGAGAATAGCAACAACACAAAAGATTTGTCCTGTCTAGAAAATGTCTAAGAGTTTATATTACTCTCCAAAAGGGGGAAAAAGATCATTTATGGAATACCTGGCATCCCATAAAACGTATCTACATTTATATTTCATGTTTATATTTTATGTTGATTGAAATTAAAGCTTCTATTAACCTGAATTGCTCTTGGCTCTTATTTTACTTCTCTTCTGCTTATTGTAACTTCATCAGAGCCACAATGAATTGATGTTATTCTGCTTGTTTGGAAATGAACTTGATGCTCAGGAAAGGTTCATCCTATCATAACTAAACAAAGCAGTCCCAATTCCAGCCATTAAAGCCTCATCAGAAGCTTTGAACGGTCCTTGAACTGTCCTTAATAGAGTCCATCCTGTAGAGACTGTGACCTCTGGTTTCCTCTGCAGGTAACCTGCGTCTGCAGGAGATGATGGGGGTGATATGTAAGGAGAGAGGAGCCAAACTATTTACCACAGAGGAACGGTAAACACACACTCACTTTCACTGATGTTAAAATGACAACACCCACTGCATCCTCCTTTCTATAGTGTGGGTGTCCCATGATGCTGTAAGTGCTGTTTTAGTGTTACTACTTATTTAATTTAAGAGATAATCATAGTAAATGTTCACAAGACCAAAGCTTTGCTTTTACCTTTTTAATATTATTTACTACAAACCCCACCTGTCAGGAACGTTGTCTTCCAAGTTGAGTCCAGATAAGTGTGCACTAGACCTGCACAAGCTGCAGAAGGCAGCTTCACTCTGTAAATACTGTTTATGGATATTTAGGTTTTTCCAATTTACAAGAATTAACCTACCCGCTTACTTCCACTTCATGCACACTGAAGAAAATATACATAACAATATAGATGTCAATAAATCAATAAGGAGTACCTGCCACACCAATTCTTCACAATATGCTTAACGTGATTGTCTACAATCAAGGACTCTTCTTTAATTTTGCTCTAGCTGACCACACTACAATAAAATACCAAAACATTACTAAATATAAGTGCCCATTTAGGATAAACTCGATGTACATAATTCACCAAACTGGCTTATGAGGATTCTGACTGGGAAAAATAATCTGCATAAACTTGCCTAAACAAATCTCCCTCCATCCTTTAGCCTCCAAACAGGCCCTGGCCAATAAGAGCTCCTGTATTCTATATGTGTAGGTTTGATTGTAGTGTGGTTCATTTTCTGCATATCTTTAAATATCAGAGGTATCTTCAAATGAAATAGAAATGGACACATTAGAAACGTTAACATTATGACCACTGACAGGTGAAGTGGATAACACTGATTACTTTGTTATCATGGCTCCTGTCAGTGGGTGGGATATATTAGGCAGCAAGTGAACATTTTGTCCTCAAGATGATGTGTTAGAAGCAGGAAAAATGGGCAGCGTGAGGGTTTGAGAGACTTTTTGCCAAATTGTGATGGCTAGACGACTGGGTCAGACCATCTCTAAAACTGCAGCTCTTGTGGGGTGTTCCCTCTGCAGAGGTCAGTACCTATCAAAAGTGGTCCAAGGAAGGAAAGGTCTTGAACAAAAGAATGACAGGGTCATGGGTGGCTCATTACTGAAAACGTTAATGCTGGTTCTGATAGAAAGATGTCAGAACACACAGTGCATCACAGTTTGCACAGAAAGTGCCTAAAATGGGTGCGTGAGCATCAGGATCACGTTTTCTTTTACACCCTGTGGATGGCGGGTGCGTGTGCGTCGCTTACCTGGGGAACACGTGGCACCAGGATGCACTATGGGAAGAAGGCAAGCCGGCAGTGTGATGCTTTAGGCGATGTTCTGCTGGGAAACCTGCCATTCATGTGGATGTAACTTTGCTTTGCTAACTTTCCTTTTGTAAGATGTCAACATAGATTTGTCTCTGCTTGTCTGCTCTCCACTGATGTCCACTGTCCACCTCCTCCTCCTGTCTAGAGAGACGATGTCTGATCTTTTGAACAAAGATGAAAAATTTTTATAATCTACAGAATCTTTACACCAGCACAGTAAATCATCAATACAGTGAAGTGATATAGCACTTACCCTTTGATACCAGTTGGATCAACAGCCTCCGGTTTCCTTTTGTAGGACGGGGTTTTTTGGACCTCAGAGCCTTTTATCAGAGTCTGCTTGACTGGTTGACTCTCTGTCAGTGACCTTGGAGCATTTTGCAGCATTGGGACTCATCATTGAGGTATCCATCTTCTCTTGGGCCTCAGGTGGAATCCTCAGTGGCAAAGCCTGCTGTATTAAAGCTCCTCACACTGGGGTTAGCCTTATTTTTGTCCTCAGGTGCAGCCACTTTTCTCATCTTTCTGTCTGGACTTGGGCTGACTGGCTTTCTGCATGAAGATGAAGTCATTCATGTGAAATCTCCAGAATCCTAACACCAACAGTAAATCATCAATCATCAGTGAAGTGATATAGCACTTACCTTCTGATGCCAGCTGGATCCACAGCCTCCAATTTCCTTTTATAGCATCTCTTTGTTTGGGCCAGTGTGGGGTTTCTGGCCATGACCCCTTCTGTATAATACTAGAGTATATGAGAGAATATTTGAATAAATGATTAGACCATCTTTCATTTTTTACCTTTTTTAAGAAGAGAATCTAAAGTACTAACTGAATTGTTACTTAATGTAATAGTAATGTGGAGACATGTTACTCCCACTAATTTTAAATGAAATGGCATCTTCCTTCATTCAGTTAAAATCCTCATCACATCCCTGCCTGTCAGGAAACTTTAAGACTTTGTACATTATTTATTTTTCAGCAGACTGTGAATAACTAGATTGATATCTTTTATAGCCATGTAGAAATGGCTGATGGAAGGCAACTATCTATTTATTTGTGTCTGTTTATCTATTTTCCTGCTCAGATTAATAGGTCAGTGGGCTCTTCATTAGATAAAGTACCTAACTTTTCACATTGTAAACAGCAGTTTACAATGTAAACTCCCAGCTAACCCTAAAATGGGCAAAGATGTGGGCAGAGCTGAGGCAGGCTGAATGAAGCCTGGTTACTGAGTGCTTAGTCCTTACTGCATGTTGCTTTTCTCTTTCCTAGAGATATTTTTCTAGCTGCTATGACTGTAGTAATAGGATTTGAGGGCAGTGCCAATAAGATCGGCATTGGAATCATCAGGGATGGTGAAGTGCTTTCCAACCCTAGAAGGACCTACATCACCCCTCCTGGTCAAGGCAAGTCACATTTGTGCTAAAGCACTATTGTCACCTTCACCTCAATGGCAATGTATCACAGTCTAACACTATGCATTTGAAGCTGACCACGTTATTTTACCCATCAGGCTTCATGCCGAGCGACACCGCCAGGCACCACCGTGCTGTCATACTGACTGTCCTGAAGGAGGCGCTGGAGCAAGCAGGGCTGAAGCCTGCAGACATCGACTGTGTGGCGTACACCAAAGGTAACACCAGATCCTGGCTCTTCATCTTGTAGTGGAATAAGATTTGAATTTGCCAGATGTTTGTTAAAATAAAGGACTAAAATAAATCACACATTTGAATCTATGCTTATGCGATGAAGGAGACGTCTCATAGCCTCCAGATAATTTCCCTTTTGAAGAAATGCAGGTGTAATCCAGATGTTAAATGTTTTTAGTATTAGCCAGCTTTGACTCCCCCTCCCTACATGCTACCACAGACCAGTGATTCCAGCACTTACTCATGTGCACACACAAATGCACAAAGGCATTAATTAACTACACTAATAACCCAAACACTATACATCTGCAGGACTAACAAGCCACACACACAGAGCTATGTGGCTCCATAGCAGGCATCGACCACCGATGGCATCTATCTCTCTCTCACTCACTCACACACACACACACACACACACACACACACACACACATCGACCTGTGTTTGTCAGCCCGGTGGTGTCCAGGATGCTGACCTCCAGTTGGCACCGCTGGAAGTCAATATCACTGTCAACTCGGAAACGGCATCCACTGTCATGGCAACAAGGGTTCAGGCACACACACCACACACATGCGCATAATGAAAACGTAAGGTGGAAGTAGCGATTAAGAGAGTAAATGGCACATTTTTATCACTTTTTGTTATTTCAGCTGATGACTTCTTTAACTGAACTTTTTAGAGAAAGACATTTTATTTAATAGCACACGCTTTACTTTACTTGGATGTTTCCTAAGAATTGGACTATATCTTGGGATCCATATTGTTTTTTGTTATGCTCGTATAACTTCTGTTTTTTGCCCTGTACAATTAAGATTGAAAACATTGTAACAGTCTCTTTGAACCTACAACTGCAATTTTGAGCTCATCATGAAACTTAGCTTTGTCAAACTCAAATCAAAAACACCTGGTTTAGTTTATATATTATAGAGAGGATTAATAAACTGTCACGCCACCCTTAGAGCAAACAATGTAAGCCATGGTGTGCATCTTTTCCCATAGCTTCATGAAAATCTGATCAGTGGCCTCAAGATGCTTTGTGTGATAGACAGAGCAGGGCCAAACACTTGACAGTGGATGACCTACATGAACTCCTGTTGAGCTGTTGACCTTGCTCCACTTACGGCGCCAATGCACAGAGTCAGAGGAAAGTCAGATGAGATGAGGAAAGAGAGCGCAAACACGTAATCCATAATCCATAGCTGTCTGTGTGCACTGAAAACCGAATCAGCTTTCCACAGCAACGAGGACAGGGTCTGAAAAAGCTGCGGGTATTATGCAGGAGGCGACAGTGCGCTGTGATCATTCAGCACACAGCTTGTGTCTTTACACCTGTCAGAGCAGACGGCAACTCTGTGTGTGTGAACACGTGTGTTTTGTTGAGATGATGTTGCTTTAGTTTTCCTTCTCTTTTGACTGACATTGTACCATTCGGCTTCAGCTCAAAAAGGCTGTGTGTGTGTGTCTGTGTGGAAAGTGTTCTTGTGTTTGTTATGTAAGACTCAATAAGGGGCATTTTTTCAGTAGCATTACATTTTTTTTCTCTATTCTCTATTTTTTGTCTGTAATTATAGACTGATGCTACAATCAACGTGTTGTTATTCCACTAGCCACACTCTCTTTCTCCTAAACACACACACACACACACACACACACACACACAGAGGCTTATATACCGGAAGCGTAGAGGCAGAGGGGATATTGTAACAAGCATCCGAAAAAATGTTGGTCCAACAAGTGAGACAAGGCTCCCGCTTGAATTAAAGAGGATTATCTCTCTTAATTTATGCTAATTAATGCGCACAGAGTAATGAGAGCAGCATGTTATTGTGTGACAGAAGCCTGTCTCACACTCACTCACTCTCACAAACATTTATAAGCTCCCACAACTGTGTGTTATTGCACCATTGAAGCCTGTTGCTTGTGGAGCTACACTAATTCTTTTTCACAAGAGACACACACACGCGCACACACACGCACACACACACACACACACACACAAAACCACACACACACTATTACTATGCCATTGTGTACTTCATGGGAATCTTATAGTCCAACTCTTTCCAAATCTTCCCACCACTGCAAATACACACACACACTGAGTCCGCTATGGGGATCGTCCTGCTGGTTGGATCCACATTCTTGTTTCTTTTCACAACTTTAAACAAAATCTAAAAAACTTGTCAGGTGTCTCCCTGATTCCCCTGTTTTTTGTTTATTTCCCATGATGGAACTGTTTACCTGTACAGACTCCATATGTTATTTGATTGATTTTGATGTTATTATCTTACTTATTTCTTATCTGATATAATGATCGGACGGCATTCTGGATCGCGCCAAACTGTGTAATGCACAGGCCGGTGAAATAAAGCTTGCTGAGGTCGTAGTTTGGTTAGGTTTAACCACCAACATTAGGTGTTAGAAAAGATTGTACGGTTTGTTACTTTGTGAAAAGTCCTCCTCTGTTTGTTTGAACTACTTGGTCAGGATTAGGACAGGATAGTAAGGTTTGTTAACTTAACTTAAGTATGTAACTTAAAATACAGTGACTTGTGGTTTCACACTGGATATGAACAGCGGCCTCCTGGGTGAGAATCCTGGGTTGGTTTGACCCCTCCCTAGGTGAACTTTGTTGCTCATCATACATGGGTGTACTTTTCACATCAGGGCAAAGCAAAATGTGACACTTACAGGTATTCTATTACAGCTTCGGTGTGAGACTGGGCTGAATGATCAGATCAGATATACCGTGCAAATTCAGCAAAACTAGCCCATATATGGTGCATGATCACAGAGAGCACCAACCAGTGATACATGGAATAAAAGGTCAGAAAGCAGTATAACAAACCAAACACTATAATACTGTATGGTAGCCTGTAGAAATATTATATTATCATTACAGTGACAGTGTAGGAGATGGTCACAAACGGCAAAGCATGGATACACTTTGTCTTTATGATATGTGCATTTTTTCTACAACATTGCTTTATATCCACCATACAGTCTGACAAGTTGACTGTAAACTGGTTTCCTTCCACAGATGGATATTATAGGAATATTATAGGATATTCCATACTGCTGCCCGAGCAGATAAAAGCTTCTAAATCTCAGCTGCATGCTGCAGACACACACACACACACACACACACACACACACACAGTGTCCCCGTAGTAATATCATAAGGATATTACAGGAGTGTTACAGTGATTTCCATTAAGGGCAGTGGGCGGCGCGCACACACAGCCCGTCTCTCATTGCGATATACGTGAGTGCGCGTCCGTTGTCAGCCAACCAGCCAGCGAGCCAACAGTCCTCAAACCAAACCCAGCCGAACCACGCCGAGCCGAGCATTTGGTCCCGCCGCCCCACACAGAGGCAGCCGCGGAGGGAAGATGAGCTGGTAGCGCATCTTTACGCACCCGAGCCGCCGTCCGCCCCTCATAAAGCCACTCTCTGCCTCTCTACGGTTCATTTGCTCGCCGAGACCATGGAGACGGCAGTTCCCAGGACCGATGTTTTCATCTCCCAACTGCTCCTTTTCAGCCAGATAGGTAAGAACTGGAGGGGGGGGGGAGCCTGATTTAATTGACTGTGGTGTCCGACATGTGATGCTGTGGACGTTTGGAGCTGTCAAAGATTGAGCGGTGCGTCTGTTCGATTCCCTCGGTTATTTAACATCCTGCACACTTCAGCGTGTGTTTCAACATGTGCAATCGGCGGCAGAGAAAGATGAATCTTTCATGTAGATTGCATTTGTTTGAAGCTGCATTTCCGACGAGGACATTTGTCCCCGCAGCTTAATATTCCCGTCCACTCAAATTTAGTTTCAAGTGATTTCTCTGCAGCACATTCAGGGTTTTTCTCGGCATGATTTGAACAGTTTGAACCGTTTTTCCAAACACATGTTGAAGTATGAATGAAATTGTGCAGTGTGACGACGCCGTGTGCTTTCTGTGGATCCTGGATTTGAACAAGGTGCTCAAAGTGCCCCCACTGATGAAGTTCTCTGATAGAGGCGTTCAGTCCAAGTGTTGCTTTCAGGGACACGCTGCGCGTTTCTTTTAGAAACTTGGATTTAAAATGCATATAATATTTTAATATGTTTTAAAGGTAACTGAGTCGTGAATTGTATTCTTTGTTATTCATATACATATATATATATATATATATATATATATAAAAAAATTCGGATTTAGGGTATATATTTCCAGTTTGAATGCTGAATATCCTCTTAAACTCACCATAGCTCTCCTTGTAAGGGAAGGCCATTGTGTCTAAAACTTTTCAAGAATCACCTGATTGATTTCTACAGTCCATGTTGGCTCTGGTTCCCCATGATAATGCTATGGCTGCAAGTTTAGAGAGTAAATCCATGAACTGCAATGGTTTGTTAAAAGCATAATCATTTGAGTTCCGAGACTGAGCTGCAGTCAAAGCCCAGATCCTGTTTGCTGAAGAAATCTGAGAGTAGGTTTGGTGCCCATTTCAGTAACAGGTGTGGAAGTAAGATAGCCTACTGTCTGTGTACTGATTTCCAAAGAGTATAAAAGAAGACAACACAGTCTGTAACAAGATGAATCATCACTTCATGTTTTTTGTGAACTGGCAGTGGAGCAGTTATTTACAGTTTTTGAGTGTTCAGAATTTAGCTCCCAATCAGGTCAGTGAAATGTTTTAACACAACATTTAGTTAAGAGTCAGAGCAGCGGCAGTTGAGACAAGTTTGAGAAGAAAAGTGGTGCTTTAATTTTAGCACTCCTCAAAGAGCAGTTTGTTTTCTGTGAGGACAGAGCTCCAGTGTATTAATAACAGTGTTGAGCTTATTACTCAAACAATGTCATTTATTACTCCTTACTTGTTACTCTTTTCAAAAGTAATATTATTGCTTATACTCCCTGCCAAAAGTAACAAGTTACACTACTAGTTACATTACTTTTCTGCGTGCCTTTTCTCCCCAAAATTCAGACCCAAAATCAAGTTTTGT